TAATTTGTTAATATTTATATTATTTCCTGTAACCATCGATCGATGACTGGTGAACAGCAACGGCTGTTTAGTAATTTGAGAATTTCTGTTTTGTAATTTTTGTTAGGTAGAAACAACTTCGAGGACGAGGTGAACAGAAGAATTCGGTTGGGTTGGGCAGCGTTTGGGAAGCTACGTCGAGTCTTCTCATCGTCGATCCCACAGTGCCTTAAGACGAAAGTCTTTAATGAGTGCGTCCTACCCGTCATGACATACGGAGCTGAAACGTGGACACTTACGGTACGGCTGGTCCACAAGTTCAAAGTCGCTCAACGTGCTATGGAAAGGGCTATGCTCGGCGTTTCTCTAAGGGATCGCATCAGAAATGAGGTGATCCGGCAGAGAACTAAGGTCACCGACATAGCGTACCGGATCAGCAAGTTGAAGTGGCAGTGGGCTGGCCATATTAGCCGCAGAACCGATAACCGTTGGGGAAAACGAGTTCTTGAGTGGAGACCGCGTCTCGGCAAACGTAGTGTAGGACGCCCACAGGCCAGGTGGAGTGACGATTTGCGCAAGATGGCTGGCAGGAGCTGGATGCGAGAAGCCCAAAATCGATCTAAGTGGCGTGCAATGGGAGAGGCCTATGTCCAGCAGTGGACTGCGATAGGCTGATGATGATGATGATGATGATCGTTGCAGTCCCTGGATTTAAAGCGGTGAAAAGTAGGTTTAATTATACATTTTGACCACCTTAGATTTAATTCAAGAACTGTCCAATCTTTCAATTCAATTCTTGTGTCAAGTTGAGTCTCTATTAGACATGGAGTCTTGCGCTAGCGTAGTAATAATAATAGGTGGCTGTGGTTTTGGAAATCATTCACAGTTGTGATGATATGCTTTATAAATGATATGATTTATCACATGTGATAGTGATTTTATGCCATCCTATTGTAGGAGTCAAGGAATCCCAATTGTATTAGGTTTGAAAAATAATTAGGTGTAAAAAACATAGTGCAAAATATATCACCTGTGGTTTATTCATTCAGTACTTTTTAATAACTTGTATTATTAATTTCAATTTTATGACCCGCAAACATTGAGGATTATGTAATTCGTTGGCTGCTGAACAATAACGACAGCGAAGTACTTGAGATCAACGACCGCTGCAGTTCCTCGAAATTAAAAAACTGCAACAATCAATCAACAACAACATATCACTTGAGTATAGGTAACTAAATCTACTTGTATATTTAAAGTAATTGTATAAAAGATGAAACTGACAGGCTGATTCACCGACTGATTGATCTACGCATTGTTGAAACCGGTGGGTCTAGAAGCATGAAATTTTGCACAAATATCCCTTAGATGACGTAGGTGTGCACTAAGAAGGAAATTTCTGAAAATTCATCCCCTAAGGGGGTAAAATAAGGGATGAACGGTTGTGCACGGGTATATTTTTATAATCGTGAACTGCAAATAATTGTTTTGGAGTTTGGGTGTTTCCTATCTATAATATGTATGTATTAACAAAACAAAAGTATATAAGTTTTCTATCACTGCCGTGCCAATCCAAAAGACTGTAACTCGACTTAAAGTGCTTTGCCTTAACAACACTCAATCAGTTTCTTTACGTCGGTTTAGTACCCCTGATGAACACTTTTGTTATTCTAAAGTGTATTTTAGAAGAGACAATAATCTAAAAAAAACTGTCTTGTATTGAAATTAGGCTTTTAACATGGTAAAAAACTGTAACAAAGCTTTCAAGGTCAAAAGTCGTTTTTAAAAGTTATAGTGTTTTGGATTGGCACGGCAGATCAGTCAATCTAGCTTTCATATTACAAGTTCTGCTTAGTTTGAAACTAGATGGCGATGTGTAACAGATGTCCAAAAATATTATTTATTATTATTACTTTACTTCTTTTCTTATCATCATCATCATTAACAGCCTTTCATAGTTCACTTCTGGACGTAGGCATCTCCTTAGAAAGGAGGTTTTGGCCTCCTTTACTACGCTCGGCAGACGGGTTGGTATATGGTTTGTTTCAAGTTTCCCTTCTCTTTGCAGTGCTGTTGTCCTGCGTAGTTTATCTCCCTTAGTCGGCTCTTACGACACCCACGGGATGAATAGGTTGGTGACCCTCCGTATTCTTAATCCGTCACCACACGGACACGGGCGTGTCTTTTCTTATACCTAGAGTAAAATCTATTGAAGTATAATAATAATCTAATAATGTATTTTCAATACCTATGTATATAGTATCTTAAGGTAGGAATTCATGAGTGTTTTAAAGTTTTTTCCGAAGTTCTTATATCTAAGACCAAAGCTCCTATATTCTTATATTTTTGCACATTTATGCGTTTATTACGGTAAAAATCCAAAAAACTTCAGGAAAAAGTTTTTTTAAATATCCTAATTATTTTGGAGAAATTTTTGTTTAAATTTACCTTTCATCACATGAAAGGTAAATTTAAACAAAAATTTACGATACATTGACAGTGCGTTAAAGGAATTTAGATATTATCAGGAGTAATTCTAGCTGTGATTGACGAGTTACGAACGGTGGTACGACCCCCACCTGTTACGAGAGACCCCTCGCCGGAAACAGGGAATTTGCATCACAATCCAATGTACCCTCGCTCGTGAACCATACGCCCCGCCGCATCACTTGCTCTGACCCCAATCGCAATCTTTCTACCGTAAATATTCATTTCCGCTTAATTTTCCAATTAAATAGATATTTTCCGTTAAGTTCAATAATCAAAGCTGCGTGAAAAATTTTTAACTACTAACTTTCCCGGTGCATTAGGTTGGGTAACTTTTATGGCGGGTTTCTACGCAATAGTGTCGAAGCTCATGATGATGTTTTATTTTCTTATTGGTTAGTTTTAATTTTAATATTAATCTATAATAAATATGAATAGTCAAAAACAAAGCCGATCTGAGTGTTAGTATTTTCAATTTCTTTAACGCTTTTATTTCTTTTGTTAATTAGATCTTGACAAGTTTTTACTTTTAAATACCTTAGGCAGAAGTTTATCCTAATCTTTAGGAAGCTTAAGAATTGACTGTTTAATTTCGAATTCTGGTATGTATAATTATAGTATATTGTGTCATATATGTATACTTACAAATGCAGGTATTTTCATGTTCTATAAGGTTAATAGAATGGACGGTCGCTTATCTTGTCGTGCCGGAGACCCTGCCATGACCTTCTGATTATTGTAGGACACGCTCGCCCCTCGCGTCCTGCGCCATCTTTGTTCTAATACGATTCTATGTACTAATGACAAATCTTGGCACAAATATTGGCGCCAACTTACGAATGAATAACATACATTGTAAATGATTGACAAAATGTGACACACGCGAGCTAGGTATATAACGTGGAGTTATAGGTACCTAGAGAAAATATAGTATGATATTTATCGTATACATAAACTAAAATTGTGCATTTTCAGTAGGTCAGTTTTAAGTATTTTATAAAATATATACTTTTAAGCACCCTAGACATAAACACGACCATGGCATTAGTACAATGGGTGCTAGAAAACGCATAAACAAATATAGAGCTTTTTTATATAAGTATAACCACATTATACATAGTGATCAGCTACACTAATATCAGAATCTTCTTCTTACTTGTTAGTTTAGAACCTAAATAACTCCGGTTCAGGATTCTAGCTATACATGGGAGACGTATACACTACTTCAAAGTACACTTAATAGAGAGAATTTATTCTTGGTTTGATTTGTTCTGTATATTTTTCCTATTTACTGTTGTTAAGCAGCTACTAAAGAAATAATGAGATCACTGTTGTTTATTTATATGAATGGGGTGTGAACATTTGCAATCGAGGAAGGAATACACCTCCGTACTACAGAAGACCGGAGACTAGGTAGTACCAGCTTAGTTTAAGTTAATTTCTTAGTGAGTTTATAGTGTTGCGTACACTTGACACAATTGACAGAATAGTGATTTTTTTGTGGCTTAAAGGGCAAACGAGCAGACGGGTCACCTGATAACAAGCAATTACCGCTGCCCATCGACCCTTGTAACTCAAGAGTCACGAGTGCGTTTCCGACCTTTCAGACATTCCCCCAGAATCGGGGGGAGAGGATTTCGGCTCCGGTATCCTCACTCAGTCGGTGAAAAGCTACGAAAGATCTGCTTAACAACGGTTTTCTGTTTATATGCCAAGACTCTCCAAGACGAAGTATCTTCTGATATAAGTATAATCCAATAAAACGTTTACGTAAAATTATGTCACGGAACCAACGAGGTAGTCAAGAACCTATGTAAAGAAAGCGTTATTTATCTAAAACACAGATTGCTGATGAGTGATGATATAATAAAAGTATTCATAACATAGGTTATATGACTAAATTACGACCACACGGGGCCTCGTGACTCGACTAGAGCATCCCGGAAAATTCGTACTCAATGTTTTGATCACGATATGGTAAGTAGATATTGTACCTACAAATGTTTTTGTAATGAGTAAAACGATTTTATTACAAAAGACAAGGAGTATTCAAACCTAAATTTATTATGGTTTATTTTTTCGAAATGCCTGAATATAAAGAGAAAAACCGAAATTTGTAATCATTTCGTTAGAAATTTACTTATAACAAAGATTATGCTAAGCCTAATGCGTCGGACTTAAGAATATAGTTCTTGCCAGTGGTAGTATTCAACGGCTGGAGGTCATCCACGTGGTCTTGTATTATTTTTTAGCTGGCTCTTAAATCTTGAACCAAAAGACGTCGCGGTTACACCTTGCTTGCGGCATGCATTAAAACTTATTGTGCTCTGGTCTCGTAAACACGTATTCGAAAGTATTTTCTAATCTACGTAGTATTGTAATCTCTATGAAGAATAGAACAAGTATAATAGTTTGTTCAAAGCACAGAGGCTATCCTCGTTACACAAGGCAACAACAATTTTCTTGATGAATGTACCTACGTCATATTATGTCATGTCAGTATCATCAAGTGTATTATAAAATTTTCCTGCGCGCTAGTATGTGAGGGAGGCGCGCGCGGCGTGCGGGGCGTTGGTGGCAAGCGGGGTGCGGCGGGGCGAGAGACGCGCGGGGCACAGCTCAAGGCGCAGAGGGCGCGGCGGGCGGTGCGCACCCGCCGGGGCCTCTCGATCACCGCCCGCGCAGCCGCCGATTCGCCTGTAGATGCCGTTGTCGTGGCGAGGGCAACTCTCCGGGGGACTTTTCATTATTCGCTATACGTTACCACTTGCTTACCTCTAAATGCACACGAGTCCACATCTATTCATTCATCAACTAACTTCCCTTCAAACCATCTTAAATGGTCATCTGTGTACCGTGAAGCCCTTTCACTAATTAAACATTCCTACTTTTACGATGCGAGTGACGTTATAATACTTGCTGAGAAGTAGGAAAATCTAACGGTGCAAAGAATGATGAGTGTACCTTTCGGATGCATACACGTGTGGGACGCGTTTGCGCAAGGCAACTCCTAAACCGCGGCCGCAGGCGGCTCGGGCCTATACAGCCACAGAGCTAATCGAAGCTAAGACCGACCACCGGAGATAAGTGGCACTCGCACTTGCTTATACATACAATATGTATAAACTTATGAAAGTTCTACTTGGATATTAATGAAATCAGCGTTAATTGAAATAAGTACGATACATTTAATCATAATATAAACAATACAAAACAATAAATTGTAACAAGCATGACCTCTATTGAACTCCATCTAATTATGTTAATTTCTACCCATCGCTCGTTTCTAACACAATATGAAGTACGAAGAATATGACAACAATGTAAAGTATTTCCTTGTCAGGCTAAATATAAACATTTATTATGTATATACAGGGTATTATGATAAATAAATTCATAAAGGTAAATAATGTGACTGACTTTTGCTACCTCTATATAAGATATTATCAATACTGTGAATATGTTTTCGTTTCTGAATCTAATCTTAAATTGTTATAAAAATACATCAAATAAAACAGTAATCATTTCGGATAAATCACAGCACCGTCGACGGTAACGTCTGCTCACCTGCGGTGCTGCGTGCGTCGCCGACTGAATACACGTGGAATCGAAGCTTACGCAACGCTTGCCTGCGCCCGCGCACAACGTTACTTTCCTTACGGTCACTACCCTTCGTCATGGGGACATTCAATCTTTTTTTACCAATCAAATATTTTTATTTAGTTAAAAAGTATTGTAAAATTGGTTTCAATAAGAAATTTTATAAATTTCTTAAAGAAACCATTTCATATTTAAAACATCAAATCATATATGTTATCATTAAGTAGGTACTTGATAAAAATAATACATTCTGGCAACTACACATCTAACGATAAGCTAAGAGTCAAACAAGATCGTAAAGAAGATATTTCTATAAATATTGGGGGTGCTAATAAACAGACGGCCATAAAGTGAAGGTCACGATTATCATACAATGGCAACAAACCGATCTGTATGTCGATGACAGTAAGCTACGTCCGTGGTGACAGAATACTTGTTATGCAACTTATTCAAATACGAAGCTTCTCGTATGATTTATTTTTTATACAATTCTACTGTTGCTTTTTTGAAAGGGACTTCTTTTAAATTTTACGCAAAAATAGAGCAATGTGAAAAATAAAACATATGAATGTGTATGGAGAAATATAAACTTAGAGCTGTAACTTCAAGCTGTAAATAAAAAGAAAGAAACAACATTGCAAAGAAATAATCATTGGTTGATAGTAAAAGGCATAAAAAGGTTTTCGAAGGCAAGAAAAAGAATCTTGTTCAAAGTCAAGCAATAAAAGAATATTTATTTTAAATCACGTTTATACACAGTTGTCACAAAATAATGCAATGGTAAACTTAAGAGATATTTACCTAATTAATCTTAAGCACAGTACTGTATGAGCATTATCTTCGTATCCCGTATCATTGCGTTCGGCCTTCACCTAGAGGTGAGTTTTAAAACATGCTAAAAATCAACCAATTTATATTGTATTCACTTGTTGACAAACAATAATTATTAATATATAAATATAAATTAATCACAGAGAAAGAGCCATGTAACTTAGATGCCATATCGCATTATATTACCTTGGAGACTTTGTGTCTTCCGGTTATTAAGGCGGAAATTTTGTCCTAAAATCCAAATTATAAAAATCACCGATACGCGTGTCACATATGGGTCATTGACCCCATGTGGAACCACCCTGATTTCACATCATTGGTCTCTTTCTAACTTAGTAAAGATTAGTATTGCGATACTCTTCATGCCACTCATTCTCACGTGCGCGCACGATGCACTATGTCGCACGCGGCGCCTATCAAAAAATTCTATTCCGTCTAGGATAAATGATACGAATTTCACAAATAGTTATACCTAGTACAATTTTTGATACGTATACGAATTTTGATAGTAAATTAGTAACATTAACGTCAATCGTAGTAAAAATTAAAAATATTCTTTGAGTAGGCGTCTATGCTGTAATTTACATGTAATTATAACTAGTCGACTTTTTAGAGCGTATTGTTTTGAGCCGCAAAACCACAGTTAGGTATATATACAAATAATATAAAACACAATGTAAGCAGACGTAAATAATATTAACGAATTGAAACTTACAAATTGAGTCATTTGTCGATTTTCTTTTGTTTCTAAAGACCTAATATTTTTTGAAATAGATAAAAATATATACACAATATATTAAATTGAATGAAAGCCCATTTTTAATAACTACTAACTTAGTATTGATAGTAGGAAAAACTATGTAATCTACCATCATCAATGAATTACCTACTTAAGCATCGTTTGAATTTTTGTGCGGGTAGCCCTTTCTGAAGGAATTGCGTGAGCCTAGCTACTGCAAAGAGACAGGGTCCACGTTTCGGAATCATAAATAAGGTAGTCTATTTTCGGCTTAATAGGTAATTTGCAGCTTTCAAGCTGTTTACATAAGTAGATAACTAATCTTGATGATATTTATTATTGCGTTAATTTATAAGTAATGTTGAGAGTTATTCACTGCGTACAAATAATGTATAATTTACTTCATAAACAAGTTTAGGTACGATGAATCGCCGCCAGTCGATAATAACTCAAAACTTTTATAGGTGTTAACAAAATAGCGAGGAAAAGATAATTAAGAAAGCCGAGGAACATAATTGTGAATGATCTTTTATTTCTTTAAAAGAAATCGAATAATTTACTATCGGAACACAACCCTTAGTGTCATCATATAATTAACAAATCTGTAGATTTAAAAATGTTATGTGAGGGTGCCGACTATTGGGACCGCAATTAACTAGGACCGGGGTCCCAGTTGCTGGATCATTTAATTTGAATAATTTTCTTCCGGTGACTGGGACCACCGCCATATATGAATACAAAATCTGCTGTTCAAGCCGAAAATAGTAGTCCTACTTAATTTCGGTTCCAATCGACGGCAACCTCGACAGGTCTGTTTTTCTTTTCTTTTCTCATCAACGCAACCACAATGTGCCACAGCGTAGCGTGGCAGGGTACAGCTAGTATACCATCATTTTCAATAAGTTCATTTAATTAAAGGAATATGAGAATCGATTATTTGTCAAATTATACCTATAAGCAGAAAATGCGTCTTTACTAACATCTGAATTTCTAAAATTATTTATTATACCTAATTGTTATGATAGAGTTAATTGTAAAGTCTCAAATTTATTTAATAATCATAACATTTCGTACAGTATTGCTCACTTGGAATTGAGTGTTGGTTGGCTTGAATTTTTTTTTTTTTACGTTTGGTAGTTCAGTATTATTCTGTTCATCATCAGCCTATTGCCGTCCACTGCTGAATGAAGGCCCGTCCCAAGGAGCGCCAACCATCCGGATCTCCAACCATATCGGTCTATTATGCTGTTAATACGTAATATATTGTAAACGTACTTATAAAGGTTGTCTCAATAAGAGTGCACTTTTTCATTTTAAAATAAAAATACGTATTTTATGAAAGAGTTGTGATATTTTTATTGGATAGTAAAGAAGACACGTTCAGATTAAGTATGGAATAAATATCTGGCAAATGGCCCCCACGGCCCTGATGACAGGCCATTACTCTTTTCATGAAATTTTCCATGACTTTTACACAGAGATGTAGCTGTATCTCACCGATGATGCGTTGGATCTCTGATTTGAGCTCAGGAATTGTTTCTGGTTTATTCGCATAAACCAGAGGTTTCATAAAACCCCAAACAAAAAAAGCACGGCGTTAAATCGCACGATCTTGGCCAGTTGACATCAGAATTTCGTGAGATAATGTGTTCTAGAAATCGTTGCTGCAATAAGTTGATTGTTTCATGCGCGATATGAAACAATCACCAATGTAGGTGCACTTTCTCGGCAGAAAAATTGGCGAAGTTTGCCAGCGGTTTCAGGGTAACTTTCCCCATTTTTGTAATGAGTTTTCACAATTATAACGCGTTGTTCTTTCGAGAAGCGCTCCATTTTTAATAATCGGAGCAAACATAGATAACAGCTCGCAAATTTCAAAGTTGCCACTTACACGAAAAAAAGGTTCTAAATTTAAAAAGTGCACTCTTATTGAGACAACCTTTACTTGGCCGCTCGAAAACTCGTAAACGGACCATGCAGTGCTACGAAGCTCAATTCCACATAAATTCGGCGAGGTTACGTTTATGTAGGTAAGTATCATATTTTAAGGTAGCTTACTAAGCATTTTAAGCTGAGAACAATAAAAATAAAAGTAATTAAATGATAATATCAGACTTACATTGTTCTTTCTATGTATTAGTTTGAAAGCGATTTTTTTAACATAACGGAATACCTTAAAAACGTGTCTTTGATATGTTTGAACCATCATCATCTACCTCCACTTTCTTAATATTTAAGGTCAGTAAAATATGTAACTTTGCACAGGATACTAGACAGATTTTAATGACCGGCCGCGTGCCTGCAGCCAATTATCTTTGGAAACGTAGGTAATCTTTTTCAGATGGGACAAAGGAGGAAGAAAAATTTTGGCAAGAAAAACTACTTAGGCCATTGAAAGACATATAAAATAACTTTTTAATACTGTAAAAACACAAGTAAAAGTATGCAAAAATCCCCGATGATTTGATTTATAAATTTATACATCAATTATTTGTATATGATATGTAGCTTTGTATTTTTGCATGTACATATATAAATAAATATTGGTTAAAGAAGTGTTTACAAGATTTTATGCCA